GCAATTAACCCTGCCCCTAGCCCCCCCCCGCCCCCCCCCCCCCCACCAAAATCACATTTTTGGACCAGTGGGGAGCTCTACAGGCTGGATGGCATGGCTCCATAAACTAGATATGCATAACAGGCTGGAGGTTGAGCACCCTTGACTTAAAGTGTCTTTGTGCTAAAAAGGAATTTCTTGCCAAGCTTACTGTTAAATGAATCAACAGATTATAGCAGCCATGTCCAAATAAAAGGTTTAAGAGAGTAGAGTTTAAAGGATCATGAAATTTCCATGGTGAACTTTTTATGGCAAAAAAAAGTATGAACTTTAGCCCTCCTCCTAGATTGACGTACAATCAGTTAGTTGTTTGTCTCAACAAGATAAATGAACCCATTCTGTAATTCATAAATGGTGTCACAGCTTCCTCACTGATCATACCCATACAACTGAAATAATGTATTAGTAAATTTTTACTACTCATCCTTTGTTTAGAACATTTGTTGAGGACATCCTCTACCAGCAGACCAGCCTCGTTGCCAAGAGTACCTGCTATGGAAAGTGCCAAATCTATCTCAGGTAAATCTGCATATGGCTGCTAAATAAAAACTAGGGGTGCACTGATAGAGATTTTTGGGGGCTGATACCGATAGCCAGTTTTTAAGGAGGCATATCAGCTGATACCGATCAGGGGGTCAGTTTGCCTTTGATAAGTGCAAAATAATGTGTTGAGGTTTTTTTCTATTGAAAAGGATTCCATCTAATTTATACATTTAAAATGAGGATATAAACAAGTGTAATAATCGTATTAATATCAAATCGTGCAAGTGGAAGCTGTTGCAATGTAAGTTGCATCTTCATGCACTTGTACTGATGCAGTTGTAACAAAATCATTGCAGTGTTAATCCTGTCTCGCTGACAGTCACACTTGCAGAGATGTAGTTGATTTTGTGTTGCTACAGGAACAAACAGATATAATAACACATCTGTGCTTTTGATTGGCAGCTGCTTCTCCACTTCCAAAGCAGTTGAACATTTACATCTGTCCATAGCCCAAGACTGCTACTTTTTGTAGTAGAATGTTATAGACTAATTTATAAAATGAAATGGTTATTATGAGACATTTAAACAGACCCTTTTACAAGCCACCTCACAAAACTTCTACCATACTACAGGGTAAAGAGTGACCACAGTAAAGCCTTTTTAAAAATATGCTGCCACAACTGAAAAATATTTGCATGCGCTGCCAGTAAGTTTCAAGGTTAGCTCATATTGAAAATTAACTCCATTCTTATTTGGGTTAAAAGACCTCTGCGTTTTAAAAACCAGCTAAATTCTAGAACCTAAATATACAACTAAATCATGTATATATTTACTGAATTCCAGTGGAAAGCTTTAAAACAAGTCTTCACTGAGAAGTACTTGACATGAATATTGCAACATTTAGAACCTAAAATTATTTGAAATAAAAAAGTTTATTCTCAGTTAATCAGCTCTTACTGTCAAAGTTGATGGAAATTCTGAAAAACAAGGAAATAGTATATAAGTGGTAAAAAGCGTGCATTTTTTTTTAAGTTCTCAATCTTAGTTATGCAAGTAAGAACATATTTAAATCGGGATTTTAAACTGTTAGCAAGTTTCTGAAATACTTTTATATCCAAATCTGTGGTGTTTTTGTAACCAAAACTCACCGCTTACTCATTTATTTGAACTTTTTAAGTTTTAAAAGAGGAAAAACATTACTACACAACCATTCCAAGCTTTGATGTACATTCAGAATGTGGGGCTGGTATTAGTATCTAAACGGTGAACATGGTAAATCAGAGTAGTTTTTTCTCTAGAACGTGTTTGATTAGTCCTGGGTCATTTTTTAATTGGCGAACTTTTCATCAGGAAAATTTAACGCTGTCTGAATTTGTTCCAGGCACCTTTCATTGTTAATCAGAATCACTTTCTAACTTACGATAAGGCCAGCTGTCACAGCTGACAGGATTTCTTTTTTATATCACCTGCTAACTTTCACCCAGGTGTCTGCGTTTTTATTAAACGTTCAATATTTGAAAAGGGCTTTATAAAAATAAAATTAGAAAGTTTAGCACAGCTTAGCACTGGAATCACTTAGGAAGAAAGCTAAATGGTTTCATTTTATATAACCATTGTCTTCCTTGAGAGATCCCCTTACTGTCGGTTAGGGGTGATGTTAGAGCAGGGATTCTCAACCAGGAAGCTTCAGCACCGTAGGATGCTGTGAAATGTTTTTGTGGCACTGCAGGGTGCCATGCAATGTTAGCACTGTTAAGTGAATCATGTTTTCACACATGATGAAAGCAGAGATTTCAAATAGGAAATCATAGTGCTAAAAATATTCTGAACTGTTTTGATTTTTTTTTTTTGAGTTCTTTGGAACTGAAAAATTGGTCTAGTATTTTTCTGTAGTCAAAAAATGAGTGAAAACAAAGTTCTGGCATTTTCCAAGGTGTTCCACAAGTCCATTCAGGAAGCTTTCATTGCTTCAGATGTAGTTTTACCCTAGAAAATAATGGTAATTTTAGAAAGTTATTCCCTTCCTGAGATCCCTTTTGCCATTTAATTATTGCAGTTTCACACTCTTGAGGTCTAGCCTTATATATTTCTTGATGTACAAGCTGTGGTATGCATTTTAAGGGGAGAACTGGGGGTTGCGTTTTCAGGAGAAAGTGCATAACAAACGCAAGGACCGGCTTCGGTGGCTTTTTCTTTATAAATGATAACCTTGTGGGTATTTTTACCGTTCAGTGTCACGACGGAGCAGCGAAGAAATCAAGCGAGACATTAATGCACCTGATGGAGCATCTCCAGCCTCTCTCATGGCGATGGGTACCACCTCACCACAACTTTCCCTCTCTTCCTCTCCCACAGCATCTGTCACCCCCACAACACGAAGCCGAATAAGGTATAACTTCATTATTCAGTACATCATTAAACCAGTCTTAACTTTGGAGCTAGTAAATACTGTACTTAATATGAATGTTATTTAGGTCTGGCAGTCAACAGACAGGACTGACAATGATCCATGCTCTTCAATAACCTTTGCAACTTATTACCAACATGTTAAACTCAGCCAGGAGACCAGGTGCCTAGCGCAGATCAGCGAGCTGTATTGTCATATGCATAGAGTACAAAGTCAGGTTTAACAAGTTAGTTGTGGCATTCTGTACCCAACTCATTTTCAAGTTAGTTTATGGCCTGTATACCATATAGAGCAGGGGTTTTCAACCTTTTTGGGTCAGTGTACCCCCAGACGCGGAGCAGTGTACCTCTGGTGGCTGAACGCAGAGCTGGGGGGTTGCGGGGAGAAGGGTGGGGGTGCGCGGCCAAAGAGAAAGATCTCCACTGCAAGATATTCATAGCCTCCTGATCAGCCATGAATGAATAAGAGTTCCACCAGTGTTCCCTACCTAAATCAAATTGTAACTTTTTTTTAACAAATGCCTGGGTGCTCCTGTCAATGAACAGTCATAAGCCATCCTGCTGATGGTGACCAACTAGCTGACTAAGGAATAGCTGGTTTTATATCGGATATCCCAGAGAGAATATTTTCACTTCTCTAATCTTCTGTTCAATGACCTCAAAATATTTTACGTGTATTAGGCACCTATACGTGATCAGCAAGGCTGCTCCAATCCACTGTAATTACAATGTATTGGAGCAGACTCAGTTAATTGAGTCTGCTGGAACATGGTTATTACTGCACTCCAGTAGACTCCAGCATCTCACGTATCAGCATCCCCATGCTGAAAAATGGCAGCTGGGGCCCTTTAAAACTTGTTCAGTGAGCTTTAGTTGAAGCATCCCACTGTCATTTTTTAGCACAGGGATGCTGATACGTGAGACGCTTTGGGACTTCAATTAGAGCAGCTCTTGGAGCCGCTTTAATTAAAGAGCCCCCCTCCCGGAGAACATGTATGAACACCCACTGAGCCTCATGTCACTGATGTGGGTAAGTTCTAGTTTCACAGATTAGAAAGTGGTGCACCAAGTTTAAGTGATCATCTGACACTGTAGCTTATCAGCAGTGCTCTTGTATGCCAGAAAATTAAACCTGTTATATTCTGAGCCATTGGGAATTATAAAAATTACATTATAAAATTAAGAGAGTGTTTGCAGCTCTGGATATTATCCAAAACAATGGTTTCGCTTCAATTAAGTGAGACATACTTCAGTATAATGCTTTTATGTAGTCTTAAGTCTGTGGACTGGGTTGATGCATTATTTTGCGGGTAATGTACAACTAGCGCTTCAAGAAACCTCTGGTTGATATCTGGTCCCACAAGTAGGAGTTAAAAAAAAAAAAAAAAGTGAATTTTGTGTAAATTTAAACTTGTAATACCAGCAGGGTGTGTAAACCTGAGATTTTAACAGAAGTATGAAATTTTGAATGAGCCATAAATGGAGAATGATCTCTGCAGTTGGTAACTTCTCTGCCTGCATGAAGTAAAGAGTTGTTCACTGTAGGAAGAAAAATTGCTACCGTTAGAAGAGTGGGTTGGTCAGTGTGTGGGGAAAGTAGGGCAGGGAGAAGAATTACTTGTTGGGAATAGTCCCTGGATAATCTTTTGTTGGGCTTTTTAATATGCTGTGTGGCTTGCAAAAGTTTACAATAGTATGTAAAATAAGTTATTTAAGAAAATAAATCTCTGCCAACCTGTCCAGTAAATGCAGGCACACCCCTGTTCTGCAAGCGTAAGCCATAAATCAGTTCTTACATTTTGGAATACAGCTGACCTAATATATTCACTTATAAGATTTATATCAATCACAAAATGTTTTTCATTGTCTCCATACTATTCATTTTAATTTGTTTCCTTCAATGCTGTTTTCATAACAATAAGAACAAGATATAAACCATGTGCCTTACTGGAATTTGGGAACAGTCTGTACAGTTCCCTCATGGCTACACAGCATGTGTAGCATGAAGGGAGAGAACCTAAATTCAGGTTCTAGTATGCAGTCACAAATCTTGAGGGGTTAAATGTCTCCATTATCTTTTTCTTAAACTAAGGTGATATTGCATATTTTTTTATTCTAATCTAAATACAAGATTCCCAAATTTGTTCATTTAGTTGGCTTTTAAATTAACTCTCGAGTCTGGGCAGTTAAAGCATATGTACATTGAAGATGTATAAGCCAGAGTAAATTCCTTAGACTTCAGTCTAGCTACATGGTGCCTACCAGGTTAAATATGATCTATAGGTCAATGTTTTTTCTTTTTTTATAATGATGGATTTTTAAAAGTCTCTAAAGTAACTCTCTGTTTAAGCTAAAATACACTACTGAATTTACCTAAACCCAAGACAACTCTGAATTTAAGACAACCCCCCAATAATACAGAGAAAATTTATAAATGAGTTTATAATTTTCCATATATAGAAACTAATTGCTGAAGGGTTGTTTTAAATATTTCCCCCTCACTGCTGCAGCAGGGCAAGCAGGTGGCAGTGGGGAGCAGAAGCTGCAGAGGGGTGGGCAGTGGCTATAGGAGGACTCTGACCCCCAAGCCTAGGTTGGGGCCGGAGTCAGAGCCGCAGCAGCTGCCTTTGCCCTCTCTTGCCCCCTCCCCCACTTCTCCTTGCACTTCTCCTGCTTATTTTCTGGTCCAAGACAAGGACCTTTTTCCTTCATGTTAAATGGGGGAGGGAGGGAGAGGGGGACAGGATGACTCATCTTGGATTTGATTAAATATGGTAAATTATTTTCTGTCTCCCTCATGTGCAGTTGTAAGGAAAAGCCTGAAAAGAATCAAAACCCTAATGGCAGAATTTTAGGAATGTGGGCTAGACCCCAAGTTCAGGCCTCATTTCAATATTGGAATGTTTATGTAAGTAGTAAGATTTTTAAAAATAATATTCAATTTAACTTAGATTTACCAGATCTATTTAGAGATCTGCCAAGTCAGTATGGCTACTGATGGCTACTTTGAAGAATGTGCAACTCCTCTGCACTGCAGCCAGTCCATGGTCCGTTACTGCTTGCAACTTAACGACATTCCTTTCAGATGCATTTTGTCAGATGCATCCTTATTCCCCTATTATTTCATTTATTGAACTTATTTTTAATAGCTGACAACAGGTGGCATTTGAGCCACCTAGTTTTGAGCAACTCTGAAATGTTGCCAATTTCAATCAGGACTTCACATGACAGCAAAAAGGTGTGATTATCTTAACTATATTTAATTAGACTCTAGGAACTAATCTTTTTCATCTGGCACATGGAATTAAATTAAACATGGGTCATGTAGAACAATCATTAGTGCTGAGGTGACAGAATGTGCATGCAAAGCAATACAGGTTCCAAGAATAACTCCCTCCCTCCCCCCAAGGTTTGTGAAATCTATGCCTATAGTTTGCAAGAGTTGTCGCACTGGAGCACTTGTTTTCTTTTGGAATTGAACTGATTGGCTGGAAAGGGCTTGAAGCCAGAAAATAAGTCATTGGTATAAACTAGCTGCTTATAGAATGAAGGTATCCAGAAGGGGTAATTTTTATGATGCTGGCAGAGGGACCTAAGAATCTGTATAGAATTGTTTAAAAATTGGGAAATAAAGAACCCTCCATTACAGGGAAAGCTCAGAGTTAATTGATGTTTTTTTGTTTGGGGGTGGGGGGGTTCCCTCCAAACAGAGAACATTAGGGTTAACTGCGTAGACCTATTGGAGTATCTCTCTTTTTACTCAAGCTACATAAAACGTCATATCTAGACCTTTTTGTTGTACTTCATTTTAGTGCCTGCAGAAAGACATGCCTCAGTCACACTACCACAAGGGTGTTAATGTGAGTAATTAATCTAAGAGTTAATATTTTGAACAGTTTAACTATTAAAACCTAATATTGAAATTGTTAATGCAGAATTGTAGTATGCATTCACCAACCCAGTTGCACTTCTCCCTCTGCCTTTTATCATAGGGAAAGTAATTGTTTTCTTACTCAGCCTTCCCCTGCTCCCTCAATCCAGCCTTTTACTGGCTAAATAGACAAATACAACTGCACAAGGATTCTTGTATTCTTATTTGTCCTAATCAGAACGGTACACAAGATCATTATTGATGGGTTTGAATCTGTTATCTTAATATATTTTATTGAGACCTGATCAGTGTTTTGTTACAATCAATATTGCCTGCATATGAAGTAAATGAGTGACACTGTCCTTGATCCCTTCTTTTGAAAACTCCAGATATGGGGGCAGACAGTCTCTTAGCAATAACTTTGTTCTAACAGTGTTCCAAGTTACTGCTTTTTCAAGGTGACATTGCTAATCAAATGAGATGCAAAAGAGATACCATCAGTTTGTTTTTTTTAAAACAAAATAAAGTTGTTTGCATTAGCTTATAGTTCAAGCTGGAACATATTGTGTCCTGAGCATGTTAGCTTAAGGTTATATGTTTTTAGAAGAAGCCCTGTTTGTGTGCAGAGCCCTAGAAAAGAGGTTTAATTTAAAAATAATTAAGTAAATGGTAAGTGATTAGCACCAGTGGTGATAACTCTCAAAGATCTTAGTATGATCGCATTCAAATTTTTGTTTCGAGTGGACAATGGGTGAAGTGACTGCCAGCAAATCAGCTGATTTGATCTTGTCTAACAGAGAAAACTATGTGGGTTTAATTGGGCATATTCCATCCCTTAACTGGCATGCGGTGCCTTATTCCTGTCATTGAGAGAAAGGTACTCGCCTTGTTCAAATGGAAAAGAAAAACTTGCAGAAGGGAGCATGGTATCAAACCTTGCTGTTCTTTTCCTCCCCTTCTATTCTTAGGGAAGAAAGGAAAGACCCTTTATCTGCCCTGGCAAGAGAATATGGAGGCTCCAAAAGAAATGCCTTGCTGAAGTGGTGCCAGAAGAAAACAGAAGGATATCAGGTAACTGCAGACTGTTTAATGTAGCACACACATAGCTGCAACACATAAGTCTGCCAGTGGCATAAACCAGACTGCTCCACAGTTCACTGCATAGATCGCGATGAAACTGGTATGTGCTGTACTTTCTTGCAGGAACACATGCTACAAGTCCTAACCAAACTAGCATTAATAGTTACTTAGTCACTTTTCTGCATAGTGCAAATGTTTTTTTTAGAGGGGCAGCTCACCTCCCATTGAAGCAAGGCACTTGAAAATAATCAGCCTACAACTTACACATTTGAAACTTGGATACAAAATTAACATTTTAAGGCAAAGGTTTTCCAGATATTCCATCAAGATTAACACAAATGCATTTGTTAGACAAAGTGTTGAAAAGTAAGACGTTATTAATATGAATTTGTCTGTTTGAATGTTTCAGGATGTTGCCACTTAACCGTAATGTTTATAGGGATGGATTTTTCTTTCTTTTGCAAGATGCATTGTCTTGCGCATACTGTACTTGGCTTTCTACCACATTCTCAAATTTCTTTTCAGTTTGTCTAAATATTATCAGAACCTGAAAGAACTAACAAGATAGCTATTCAAAGTTCTTCTGTGATTACATTATTTTTTCCAAAGAATAGTGGATTCAGCAATGTGAACCAGGATGTTAATAGTCTAGGCATGATGTATTTGTTTGGTTAACGTGTACTGAAAGTGTTTGGAATTCCCAACACAGACCTCGGTTTAAAACCTTTTCTTTTTCAATGACTTCAAGCTCACAATACAGGAGGAAGCTGAAAGCCACAAAACAGGATGGTTGACCATCCATAGGAAGAGTCGTCTTTCAGTACAATGGAGAAGTTGTGCTATAAGCCCCAGGTGCCCCTCCCCCTCTTCCTGTGGCACGTCTGTACCAAAATTGGCTGTTTGAGTGTAAAATGCTTTGTGGAAAAGGTTCTTCCTTTCTCTACTTTCTTTTTTAAAAATGCAGGATGTTAAATCTTTCACTGTAAATTGTGTAAATCTAAATAGGAAAATATCTGAAGCTCCTTAAACGAATGATGCATCTGGCAGTTTACTTAACTCATCAGGACAACATTATAGAAAGTATTCAAGAGCTTTCCTTCTTTGGCCATTCTCTTGTTCATGTTGATTATCTGCTTATGATCAATCTTCATAGACCCTTGTAGCTGCTAATAGAAGGGGGGAGCAGCTGACAGCTAATGTACTTGCTTCCCTGACAGCTATTACGTGACTTTCTGCATGTGCTGCTGCTGCAGGACCCTAACATGTCATGTCTCTGAGCCTTACAAGCCTTATTTTATAGGAATAAACTTGCGCTATTAGGCTATATTAAGTTAGGTTTCGCAGAAGAATGCTATTGTTTAGACATCCACATTTATCATTTGCCTTTAAATTAGTTGTATAGCATTATTTGTTTTCAAGATCCCACACAAATTCAATTCTGTTCTACGTGAGTGTTGTTGTAATGCTATACATGTATCCTCAATTGTTCTCATTATGAGTACAGATTATCCAGCTTTTTGACATCTCAAGTGCATTATTAATTTAAAAAATAATTATTAGGGCTTCTGTTGGATGCCAAACCTTCATAAAGTTTTGTATTATTTTGACTTCATATGAAGTGAAGAACATTATGTGGTAAATTTGAAGATGAGTAATAGATTGATACAGTAAAACAGTATAAAAACCTCCAAAAGAAGAACATGTCACATTCCTATTATATGGTTATGATATTGCTCATCTTTGAGCAGAAACTTTCCCTCTGCTGGGATTTTTTGTTTTTGTTTCTGTACTTCAGGAAAATCAGACTTTGCACATGTCCCTTAATCTCAATATTTACAAATTGAGACCTTTGCATAATATATTAAAAATGGAAGGAAACTTAATTTTCATTGGTGGGAGCTGAAAGAAACCTGAAAAAAAGATTTGAAGAAAAGGAAAATGCAGCACAGAACTAGAACAAATACACATCTATCAAAAAAGTAGTGTTGTATTTAGGAAAGGAAACCCCTGGCTCTCCTGTTAGAATTAAAAATGCATAGACCCTGCCTGGAACATTGCTTAGAAGCAAACACAGAAAATACTTCAAGTGGTTCCTAAAAAGAGCTTGGAGCCCTGAAGTATTTGTAAAAGGCTGTTCATAAGGCAGGTGATTTCATGCCTATATTGTCCTGTCTCTGATGTCTGTTGTTGTTATTGAGTGCTATATCCCTTCCATCCCTGGTTACCCCCTTAAAACTACTTGCACATCAGGAACCATCTTTTTGAGGCTGTAATAGATCTAATTACTCTGTGTATGCTAACATGTTTTAGAGAAAATAATTCAACCAATGGTCTCCTGGTTTGACTAATGTAAAAAATGTAAATGCCACATCAGGAATTTCCAGGCATGACAAAATGGCCACAGATGGACAAGTGTACAGGCTGGGGTATATAGCCTACAAATTGAGGTGGCAACGGACTTTGAGTTGTTCAGAGGTGCCCAGAAATGTTAAAAATAACTGTCTAGGTTAACCAAAAGATGCAACACTTTTCAGTAACATACTCCAGGCTTTGTAAGTTGAAGGGAAAAAAAAACCACTTTTCAGAATCATCCAATCTAGGTTTTAAACTGTCCCAAAAGATTTAAACCCTGATTTATCACATAATAAAAACCTTCTACCACTTTTATCATGATTATCTTTCTGCTTTCATCCCAGCTGTATTGTCTCAAATTATATCATTTCCTATTGCAAAGCCAGAGCATGGCAGTTTGTTATAATTAGATCAGACCATAGTCTTAGTCTGAAAACTCTTCTGCTATATTTCTGATTATCCTTAAAGAATCAAAATCTTGGTCTTGGTCTTCTGATTTTTAACTTTATATTGTTGCACTAAGAAGTTAAATACAAAAGAGGAGAACTTCTGGTTCCTTGGTGGCCCGTTAACCCATTGGCACATCAATGAGAGTGAACATTCAAATCTTATCAATTCATATATTTTTTTAGTATATCTTTTTGCCACTTCAACATGGAGAGGTTTTTTTAGTCCAGCATCCCTGTGGTCAGTATTATACCTCTTCAGTCTCACTCTTGCACCTTTTATTCAGAAATGACTTTCTTTTTGAAACAGCTGTGGTTTCTTTCATTCAATACATATTGGCCAGAGTCTTGCAGATTTGTGAACCGATTGCCTATACCAAGAGCAAGAATTGAGAAATGTAGTTATTCATTTATATACTACTACAGCTGCTTGCTTATGGTAGAAGGGGTAGACCCACACAATGGCTTATTTTGGAATTGTTTTAGCTCTGGAGATCCTGCAATTGTTTGTTCCATTAGAGATACAAAAAGGTTGCATTTCTGGGTGTGTTTAAACCGTTGAACGCTTAATCAGACAAAAATAGCTAGATAGTCTTAATCCCTTTTATTTGTATGTAAAGTGCCCATAAAAAAGTTGTGGCCTGCAGATAACATAACACCTGATAAGAACAAAACTCTCTACAATCAGGCCACCCTTTAGCAGCCAGCAGCACACAATCAAGTACTAATCTTCTCAAAGGCTAGATGAATTAAATGAGCCTCACAGTTTTGCCTTCAGTGTTAATTTGAACTAAAAGTGATATTTCATGTTAGGGAAATTAAGGTACTTCATACCCTTGAGATTTGTGAAGATTCTGGGCTGACTGCTTGCCATTACAAAATATATATTTTATCAGAATATAAAGTGGAAGAGAAATAATTCTCAAATTATTTTTGAGAATTCTCTTTGTAAGCATCTCTTAACCCTTTAGGACAAGGTGGTAAAAGTTTGAAAATTTGTGGGTTGTATACCCTCCTTTGCAGGGGTATATGATAAATATTCGTTATGATTTGGCTAGAAAGGTTTTTGAATATTTATGGACATACTTACACACTTTGTACTAGACAATTGCTTCCATGTGGTAAAATGTTTCTCAGTCATTAATAAACACCATAGATAGTGACAGATAAAAAATAAAATATAACCAAATGGTATAAAATGAAATTTTTAAGTAAAAAATGATGGTGGAAAAGTTTTACGATAGTAAAACTCCTCTCCTCTCCTCTTTTTTGGAATGCATTATGATGTATTTTTATTCACAGTATTCTGCTTCACACATTGTGCAGCTTGTTGGAGCTCACTCAACAAGAAAGTAATATACGCATTGAATAGAAGTAAAAACTGAACAGCTCTTATTCACAGAGCCTCTGACCCTTGTGTAGAATGTATTATTTTATTCTGGAATTTCTTTTAAGAGAATGAACAGCCTACTATTACTGCATCCAAAACAATGAAAATAACGGAACATAGTTATTTTAATGCAAAAAATGGCAGGACTGCTTCTCTCTGCTGAGTTGTCATCTGGTAGTTGGATGTATGTGCAGTTTACAGAATACTCACGTGTCGAAGCTCTCCCTTGAAACTTAGATTCAACAGAATGCTCGGGGTTTGCTAAGGAAGAGAATTGCAGGTTGATGTAAAGGAAAAAAAACTGAGTAACATGTTTTTGTCTAGAACAGACCCAGAGGAGTAAGAGTGTTACCTATGAATACAGAGTTGGCCAACATAAATATATCTAAAATTGAGCACTAATGAACTTCAGATTTCTTGGACAGAGCAATTGCTTTAAAAGGGTGAGATTTTCCAAGGCCCATAGTAACTTGGGAGCAGAAGTCCTGTTGACTTGCAGACAGAGATGTAAAATAACTAGGATTTGATTACATGCAGGTCTTCTTCATAATTTAATCTTCTGATTCAAACAGTATACAAAGCCAAATACGGGATTTTCTGCAGAGAAAGACTCATCCTGGCTCCTCTAAAAACATGCAGTGTCATTAAATTGAGGCATTAAATCCCAGGTAATTTGAAAGTATAAAGCAGTCCACTCCAGCTGTCATGTAGCAGTCAAGCCTAGCTGTAATATAATTATTTGCATATTAAGTGTACAAGTAACGAGTCTAAAAAAGGATGCAGAAGTGTGCATTTCATGTTAA